TGGATTCTTATATTTAATTATAAGCTAGTTGTTTTTTTTTGTAATATATATTTAACTGTTCAAAAGAAAAAAACAAAAAACGTTGCATTCATTTAAATTATTCACAATATTTAATAATCACAAATACTTATGTGGCTGTTAAAATTATTTACTATGAAACAGCAAAGGTATCATAAACATTTATGCTTACACAGAAATATGAACATTTTGTGTTGGCATTACATGCAATATACATAGATATTAAATTATTATTCAAAAAAATATACATAATATTTCAGGAAAAAAAATGTATAAAAAACATGATTAAGTATATAAATTAACATATGACATGTGCATAGTTATTATTTATAATATGTATATATAGAAAAATATTATATGGCAAGAGAAGTGTATGTTAAATGCACGAATAATATTAATATATATATTTTAAAAATATTTTTTAATTTGTATTTTATTATAAGCATATTAAACAGACTTTTAATCAAATCAACTTTTAAACAACAATTTTAAATGTAAACAAATAGTTTAAAAAATAAAAAACTAGAGGGTATATTTAAAATAAAATATTTGTATAATTTTTTATTATTTGTTTTTTATTATTATTAAAAAATACTATTTAAAAAAGTTGTATTACATTATATTAAAAAAATATATATATTTGATCCAATTTTATTATTATTCTAAAACTGTTTTATTATTACTATTACCAAGAAAAGTAATTTATTTTACATTATTATTGAAAAATGTAAATGTTTCTTTTAGAATTAAAACAAATCTCAGTGAACCAAGTTTATTAAACCTCAAATATGGTTTGATATAAAATTTATTCAATTTATTTCTAGCCAATTCAAATTGAATTCAATTGAAATTTGCTTGCGAACAAAATGCTAATATCGATAGTGGTGGATAGTTATGGACGTGCGTTGTCTTCGGCCACGCCTTTTAGGGCGCACAATCAAATGGCAATTATGTAGATTTTATGCAGCTGCAAAAGTTTTTGGCCAAGCACTTTTGCTTTTTGTCCTGGCAGAGTTCTATGGAGTCTTTTGTTGGTTGTTTACCAACGTCTAGACGTTTATTGTGATTTGGCGTGGGCTTCCTTAACGCATTGTGCTTGCCGCTTGATAAAAGTGTTTAAACGGGTTTTTTGGAAACTGTTTCGAATATCGGTTGGACACAGAACAATGCCACAGTTTATAATTGTGAATGCTTTTTGTGCAAAGTTTTGCGCTGGCTGCATTAACAGAGTTCTTTTCGGTTTCAGATAAAGCAGTGAGAGCAAAAGTTTATAATGTTTGGCGGTTTCTAGTTTGTTTCTGAAAATGTAAGAACAGAACTTAAAAACTTGCAAATTGGTGGTTTTAGTAAAAAAGATATGATAGTTATGCATAATAAAAGCGATGAGAAATGGCAGCTGAACTAAATATTTTTGGCATTTCTTGGCTGACTGTACTTAGGCTCTCTCCAGAGCGCTAAGCCAACTACTTCAAATGAGGCACCTGCGTCAAAAACTACACACTGACTTATTACACAGGGGAGGCAGTTCCAGGAACTATGCAAATAGCTTGAGTGCTACCTTCTGGCTGAGACAACGAAGCGATGTCTTCGCATTTATCTGGTTGGCTTAGCAGAAGGCTGCCGTTACGAAAATCCCCACATGAATAATTACGGCGCAGCCAGTTCATTTCATTTCACTTTCTGTCTAAGGGAATCTCTCAGCTACAACCCTTTCGCGAGGGTGTGTGTGGCACATGAATGAAAATATTTAATGAAGAAATTTATAACAAACTTTCACAGCAGCAGCATCAGAAGATGTAGCAGCAGGCTGTGTGCGCATTTAAAAAATTATGAACATTAAATGCAAATTAAGCTAATCAATTAAGCCGTAACGAAATGTGCCTCTGCCAGTGGGCAATTCCAGAGTTCAAAGTACCCGGCACATTTCTGGGCCATTTGACGTCGCGCAATTAGCCAAGAAATGAGTGGCTGAAAGTCGATAGTCAACGCTCGACGCTGTCGACAATCTGCACTGCCAGCCAGCCAGCCAACCCTTGCGAGTGACCGATATTAATGATTAGCCAGTCTCTGCCCCAGTCACTCTCTACCAGCAGCGTTTACTGGCATGCAATGCCAACCCTTTTGCTGTAGTGCGTGTTCCTCTGAGCCCAGAACACATCGACTGACTGACTCACTTATTATAGGTCAGTATTGCGTTAGCTGGCCACCCACTTTGAAGTTTGCATTGTTGACTTAATGATTGGATATTAATTTGGTAGTACGTACTTTAGACAAATTGTTGCCGATTAGCCAATGGGCTAAACAATGGCCCAAGCAAATAAATAGTATGATCCAAAGGTAGTTTAACTGAAGCTTCGGGCTCGTTAAAAGCCAACTTAACTACTTGTCATTAGTTCAATGGACAATTGACTGTGTGGGGCTGGCTGACGGCAGCTGACACTGTTATATATAGATACTATTTGCAATAGTAAAGAGCGTATTCGATTTCTTTTATCTAACTGTTTAAATGTTGAATTAATCTAAGTCAGCTGTGCGCTAGAGTTAGTAAGATTGCGAGTCCTTTGGAAGTTGGTAGAGTTATCTATTTGAGCCACAGCAATTCAAAACTTCTTGATCTTAAAGCATAGAATTGAGTCAGCTTATAGAAAATATTTTTCTTTTCTTCAGCAATTTTATAACTTTTAGGCGTGCTGAAAACTTTAAAGTTTAGCACTTCTTCATAATCATTATTCCTATATATAAAATAGCTAAACAATAACAAATATCATATTTCACCCAGGCAACCAGCCATACACAATCAGTTTTTACAATCGATTACGCAAATGGTTTTATGGCGGCATTGAGAGTGCTAAACAAATTTTATTTTAATGCCATTTTCCGTTTAATTGGCCAAGTAATAGTTATGGTTCTATTGTGTGGCCAAGAATGGCTGAATGAAATTTTAAGGGTCGCCGCAAACGAACTGAAAAATCAACAATGCGACCATAAAAATACGCCTTCCCTTGGAGGGGCCTAATCAAATTAAGTACTAATCCTTGGGAAAAACCGCGAACAATTTAAAATGATTGTAAGTAAATTTCCCAAAACAATTAAAGGCAACAACTTAGAATTTCCGACAATCAAACAGCTGTTACGAAGAGAGCGCGAGAGTGAGAGAGAGGGGAGAGAGCGAGAGCGAGAGCGCGCTCTATGCGCATTCGCCAGGCAACTGAGAGAATAAGAGTAAGAAATTTTTATAGCATGCGATAAGTGAGCTTGTCGCATGCGTTTAGTTTGCTTTTAATTACCTGACCAAAGTACTAAGAGACATATTTGCATATGTGAGTACGTAAAAGATGGTCATAAAAGCCTGACTTGACTCACCTGGTCAGAGCTAGTTCCCAAGCGGGAATAATTCATTTGCCGTGCAAAATTGTTGCACATCAAGGATGCGAGAAGGTGTAGCACGGTGGCAAGCAACTTGTGTAGACAACAAGGTTGCATACACGTTGAGAAATTGTTTTATTACCGAGCGTTGAGAGCGTGTTGACTGAAAACAAAGGTGCGCACAATAAATTACATTGTTACACGGAACTGTGGCAATGCTGGGAGGAAGGTGCAAGGCGCAAGACGCAAGGCGGGCAGCGTCACTTTAATGAAAAGGATTTTCTCTCCCATATGTCTGCAGTTTAGTTGTGCAGCTCCACCTTTCACTCATTGCATTACTTTCCGTTTGCACTTCAAATGACTTTGCCCCGTGGCTGCTTAATATTTAATGGCCTGGCCATTGAAGACTTCGCTCGGCTCTCAAATTTCTAAATGCGCTTTGATGTTTTCGCCATTAGTTGAGGTTCAGACTTTGCATAAATAAGTAAACGCCTACTTCATTAGAAAGTGTCGCTTTATAACCATCTCAGGTTTAGCTCTGTGCGCTTGAGTGCTTTTAGTTTTGTGGTTTGCTATATCCATTAGAGAAATGTCTGAAAAGGGGTATATTATTGATGAAATGCAGTTTGTAGTTTAGCTAAGGCAACAAGGTTTCTTTTGCTACAATAATATTGGATAACTTTTGCGATTGAATTAAGTTATTTAAGTTATGTTATTATTAAGTTATTAAGTTAATATATAAACAATTGAGTTTTAATGTTAAGAGTTATTAAATGATAATTTAGGCAAAGATTTTATAGCTTCAAGTTCATGTATTTTATAAAAGTTTCAAATCAGTTTAAATAGATTAATTTTTCTGTAGGGCCTTAAGACCTGAGACTAGTCTCAACTAGGCATTTTCGGCTGGTAAAGGGCTAAAAGCTTAAGCTCTTTTAGTTATGCCTCAGCTGACTTGTAGTTAATCTATGCATACATCATATAGCTATCCATGCATATATCTATAATAGGACCAATGCCGCTTACCAGTTCTTGATTTCTTGACTCTTCTCGTGTTACTTCAAATATTTTTTTGGCTTACTATATCTCTGGTAAAATGTCGCTTATTGAAAGTTAGAACAAAGTAATATGTTCTCCGCTCATTACAGGGTATCTTTGCTCAGCCATTTGCTCACCTTCATGTTTGTTTTAGTTTTAGAAGTTGATGATATGTTTGTGTGATGTTTGTGCTGGCAAAAGAAGTGAAAGTGGGAAGTGTTTTGGGAAACGGATGAGAGTTCTTTCTGCTGATGAACGGCAAGCGAAGCAAAAGATGTTTGCTCGAAAATAGGAAGTCTGTGGAGCTGCAGTGGGTTAAGTAAGCTTAAAAATTAATGAATCTGAAAACGAGACTGTTAAAAGCCTTAATGATTTATGGTTGAAATGCAGAAGGATACAAAAACATGATAAATAAATAAATACAATTTATTTAATATTAAATAACAGTTAAAATTTATGTAACAGTAATAATTTATGAAATATAAGCGATTTAGTTTTTGAACTTTATTGACATTGAAAACAAAGTTTAAATCGATCATAAAAAACTATTTGAAATGAAAAATGCTTCAACATAGCAAACAATGCTAGAAATAATTTTACTTTTGTTTAGCAAAGCCTAAAAATAACGATTCAAAATTACATATTTCTCAACTTGAAACATATTATTCCATAACTAGAACAGGTCGACTGCTAGTGGGTCACATTTGATAAATGGGAACTATAGTTAGTTCTATGCAAAAGCCAATGATGTACGTTAACATGGACAGCCCACATGCACAGTTCGTTCGCGAAACAGTTAACAACAACAAAGTCGTCATATTTAGCAAGACTTACTGCCCCTACTGCAGCATGGCCAAGGAGCAGTTCCGCAAGCTCAACGTGGAGATGACCATAGTTGAGCTGGATTTGCGCGGCGACGCCGAGGAGCTTCAAGCGGTGCTTGGCGAGCTGACTGGAGCTCGCACCGTGCCCCGTTGTTTCATCAATGGCAAGTTCGTGGGCGGCGGCACCGATGTGAAGCGCCTCTACGAGAACGGCACACTGCAGCGATACTTCCAGTGACTCTCCCAATGACAGACCTAAAACACTTTAAAGTTGGAGCAGCAGCCGTAGCAACAATTGAAGTTATGTTGAATTCAGTTTTGGTTGGGAAATAAAAATGAATGAAAGCATTGGTAGCATATGAAAGGTAACTTAATAGAATATTTATCTGTGAAGTTTGCAGATGAGAAAGAATTGGTGTAGGACTAATAAATATATAAATATATATTAATATATAAATAAAAAATAAATTAAATTAAAATTAAAAAATTAAATAGAATTATGTGAAATAGAATAAAAGAGTAAAAATAAATAAATAAAAATTAATATAAAAAATAGAAAGAAACATATATAAAATATATATAACATATAAGAAAAATCAATTAGCAGCTTTTAGATTGGTTCGTAGATTGTTGCCAATTCAAAGTTGGAAGCCTTAAAAAAATATTTTTTAAAAGCTTATAAAAGTAGCTTAGTGAAAGACGTTCCTAAAATTTACAAGGTATAGTTATATCATGTAATGTGTGTAAGAGTGGGAATTCATGGCTGGATTTATCGGCTTGAGTAGCTACTCTTAACTGAATGGGTAATTAATTTATTTGTATCAGCTGAGTTGCCATTAAATATAGTGCTAAGCAACTGCAATTATAAATATCACGGATCGCATATAAAATTGATACAGTAAACACTTTTTCTAGCTAAGGTATTAAATTTGTATTGAATTCCGCTTGCAAAGTTAACAAAAAATCGAAGGACACTATTTAAGCACATTGACAGGGCAAATCGATAAGCCAAATTACGCATACGACACGTGTGCATATTGTAATATGTGAAACACACGCAGACACCCAACACACACACTTTTATTTTGACTTTTTATTTTTAATGCTTCACCTGCGCAGCGACGCAAACACAAAATTGAACAATTTAACGTGAGAGTAAACTAAATTTCGACATTGTGCAAGCAATTTGAAAACAATTTACGAAATGTCAACAAATTACTGCAATTTGCCAGCGCAAATTCAATCAATTATTTGCTTAGCGCAGCGATTTAAAGTTGCCTCAAACAAATGACTTCGACAAGGACGACGAGGACTTTGGGTGCAGTCGCTACTATGCGTGATGTGCTGGGCTGCCCTTAAATGGATTCATTTCTTTAATGGCCTCATGCAAGTTTAATGTCAGTCTGGACTGTCAGCCGGGCCCTGGCCGTCTGGCGTTGACCCTGAGCTGCAGTCGTCGCCTCATGTGTCATATGCGAAGTTGCAGTTGAGCAACTGTGGCACAAAGATCCATTGTTTACCAGCTGAGAGGCACGCGCGTCGCTCCTGTCTTGCTACATTTAACATTCACAAAAAGGCAGGTATCCGGCACACCTGCTGCCCACCTCTTTGCATTAATTGTTTTGCAGTTGCATTCATTCAATCACAATTCCCAGGAAGCAACAACTTAAGCATTATATTGAGCAGCTAAGAGGCAGCGTCGAGCCTTTGTTGCTGCCACTGATGTGCATTACTGTTGCAAGGCTTTTGTGTTCGCGCAGCATTTGCATTATGCCTTTTTTATATGAATGGAAGATGGGAGAGGCTAGGCTTGAGCTGAATTTTCACATAAATTGCATTGCTTCAAATTAAATGTGTAAGAAAAATGTTTTTCCTATTATTATTCTTTAAGCTCAGCTAAGAAATACCCTGTCTGCTTTTTTAAGAAATTTAAGTTTTATTAAGTTTTAAAATTAATTAAATTCGTTGCTGCAGATATTTAGCTTTATTGACGTCCTGCCACGCCTTTTAACTCTCAACTTTTATAGCTACAAAATGCATTAAGCTAACAATTTATACGCCTCAAACCATTCAGGTTACAGGGTATAGGGGCATTTAGCTGCAAACATTGGAATTTGTAATCAAAAATGCTCTAAAAGCCACCAAAAGGCAAAAACTAATAACAAACGCTTAATAAATCGTCTATCAAAAGGCGCTGCGCACAATGAGCTCTGCATACATATACGTATATGATATATGGTCTAGCCAGTGTCTGGCTGGCTTCAATTTCAACCTCAACTCCAAATGCCACTGGCCGCTCGCAGTAGTTTGCCAAACTGTAAAACTTGCGTCCATAAAAAAGCGAGAAAAGAATTTGCCAGAGAACAAAAGCGATGCGATGTTCGGTCGTTTTATTAAAAACCACAATTCAGCCAAGCGAAAGAGAATCGACTAATAAATGCTTGTTTAAAATGGTTTTAATGCAATGTTAATTGTGGGCGTGGCGGGGCGAATGTGAAAGAGAATGAATCCAGCTTTAACGCCAGCATAAATCATAATTTGTAATCACATTGTTTGACAAACAAAATTAGTTAGATCAGTGAGCTTTTGTTAGTTATAGACAGGCTAAATACCCTGTAAATGAGCTTGGACTATAAAGGCGAAAAATGTTTGATATTAGGAAGAAGATAGAAAGTAGTAAGAGCAGAAATAAATATTAAAATAAATAAGTAAATATATAAAATAAAAAATAGAAAATTATTTATTTTATTTATTTTTAAAGTTATTTTTTATTTTTTTTAAATTTAAAAATTTTTTTTTTATTTTATATTTATATTAAACGAACATTTTTTAGTGAAAAACATTTCAAGCTTAAGTCTTAAGTCATGCCTAGCAAATTTATCTATTTTAGATACAAACCCTAACAACTTAATGCATTTCCAGAGTATCAGCTCACACGCCTAATGATATCGGCCATAAAAATGACCATGAAATGGCTTTTTGGTAGCCAACTGCAAAGGATTGGCCATAAAGCCGGGCGACAAAGTTGCAACAAAATTTGATTGCGCTGCTAATTGAAGCGACTGCGATAGTCCAGACTGATAAATAGTTAGATCTAATGTCGCAATCAAAGTGCAAAATTCATTTCTTATTCACAGTTTACAGTTAGCCAGAGTTGCAGTAGCTAAACAAAGCTGCGAGTAAATGCCGAAAGAAAAAACAAGATAAAGAAATATACAAAATAAAATTATTATGGCCAAGCGTTGAATCGTAAAAAATTCCATTGCAGTTGTAAATGCTGCCTGCTGGTAGCAAGTACGAAAATTTGTATAGCCATAACGAGTCTTGACGCTTGATAACTCAGCCAAACAGAGAAACTATGTACTCGACTCACTGCTGCAGCAACATTGTGTTCTTTAATGCCCATTCGAGAGCTCAGTTAAAGCTTAGTTGAGTGCTTAAATGCAGAAAATGTGATTTGAGATGATTGTGGACAGGGAGAGTGCCAGTAATGCAAAGATATTCATAGGACTAATTGCATTTGACTAGGAAATAAAGCCATTCCTTGCTAGTCACATAGAAATTTGCATCTGTTTCGGCATTTGTTTTTAAGAGCATAAACAAAAACATCAATAAGAGCAGTAAAATATAACTCTGTAAGAGTGGCCATGTTGGCTCGCTTTTATCATCTCATCTTTTCTTTTGAGTAGCAAAACTTAAGAAGACTTTGAGGTTGCAGCTAGAGATCAGTGGTTGAAATTATTTTTGTGCTGTAAGTTGCTTTTTCATTAGCAAGCAAGAACTTCTAAAAGTATTAATTTTTATTTGAGAAATATATAAAAAATATAAAAAAATATATAAAAAATAATATATATTATTATATAAAAATAAAAATTGAATTTGGCTGAACTACTCTGAATACATCTCTGTGTGTAAACATTTTTGAAAAAATTTTATTAAAAAAATTTTTGCTGAAATCACATTAAATTCAGATGCCTCACATCAAACTAACGATAAAGGCAGTTTTACTCTTAATTCAGTCTTAGCTTCTCTATGAGTCGAGTACCTCTAGGCTCTAAGCTGAAGAATAAGAATTTATTGTTCTATCACTAGAGCAAGTGCAGAATCAACGCTTTCAGTCTCAAGAGAATAAACCAATTTGTCAATATTGAAGTAATCCCTAAGCCTTGTCAACATGAACGAACCAGCCTAGTATTATATCTAATCATTCAATACTCTAGCATAACTCCCTACAAATTAGCCACAAATTAGCAAAGCTTTCAACTAGTTTTTAGCTTAATTCACAACACAATTTCGTAGAGGAATGAATCAACCTTAAGTTAAAAGCTGAAAAAATGAAACTTTTCGTTATCCATGATATGTTTTTAATGTTCACATATTTAATTTCACTGACCATTGCATGTCAGGGCGAATGCTAGACACATATCATGCTGAAAGCCCGCCCATCTTGAAATGTACTCGAGCTGTTCGTGTCCGGGCGAAGCTCGGCCAATGCTTTCCAGCTGAACCATGGCATTTATACATAGCAATGCTGGGAAATATGTATAAATACAGGTGTAGTGTATCCTGTTGCTTTCGTGTTGGCAACGGCTGACAGGGCGGGCGGAGCGAGGGTGCAGCCAGGACCAACAATCCGGGCAAGTTACAATGTCACGCACACATATTTCCTGTCATTCTAGCGTTTATTTCCTCACAACGCTTTATTTTTTTCTTTTTATTTTTATTATCGCATCCTTGTTAACACGTGCGTTCCCCCATTGTTGTTGTTATTGTTTGCTATTATTTTTGCTGTTGTTGTTTGCTGCAGTGCGTCCATGTGGCTGTGCCCCCGGGGGTATTCAAGTTTATTAAGGCAACGATCTTCGCTATGTGCACGGCCAAAAGGGGCGTCGAAGGCGTTGGGGGCGCGGCTACTCGCTGCTTGGGTCGGGTTACCAATTGACGTCCATTGGCTGGCAACGCCGCGTCTGCTGTAAAACAAAGAAAATAACAATAATATAATTATATGTTAGCATGACATGTTACGTGCAAGTGTCGTTTAGAACAATTTTTACACATTTCAGATGGTCGCCGGGCCTGACGGGGTATACGAGTTAAAGCTTTTCAGATTGCTCTGAGCAGAGCTGCGCAATATTTCATGTTACTATTATAATTAATTAATATTCCTGAAACTATTTATTTGATTTATAGCAATGCTTTATGTATACATAAATATGCAATTTTTTTGCCGTTTTATATCATTTTATTTTTGGCCATTCTGAAAAGCAGGTCTATCTTAACTAGCTGTAGAAGTTATAGTTGGAGATCTATATAGTTTATTTTTTAAAGCACGCGCTTTCTGCACTGCAATATTTTCCGAATTTCGTGTCTGTAGTATCTTAAGTATTTCTTTTATTTCCGATTTGCCACGCTTAGCAG